GCTGAAGAGCCGCAACAACCGCGCCCCCGTCTCCCTGAGCCGCATTGCCGTCTGCATGAGGCGCAAGTCGGTGTGGCTGGAGAAGGGCAAGAAGGCCCCCATCGCCGTCGTCGTCGGTGACGTGCTTGACGACGTTCGCATGATCCGCATCCCGGCTCTGCGTGTGTGCGCGCTTCGCTTCTCGAAGAGCGCCCGCGAACGCATCACCGGCGCTGGTGGTGAGTGCCTGACGTTTGACCAGCTCGCAATGGTGGCGCCGACCGGAAAGAACACCTTCCTGCTGCGCGGCCGCAAGTCTGGGCGCGAGTCGGTGAAGCACTTTGGAGCGGCGGGTGTGCCCGGCAGCCACGCGAAGCCCTTCACATCGAACCGCGGAAAGGAGCGCCAGCGCGTCGGCAGCCGCCGTCGTGCCTTCCGCCACAAGTGACGGGGCTGATGGGCAGCGAGACGACAGGAGGAGTGAGCGAGGTGCAACCTGCACACACACAAGGCATGTTGGCTTGTTGTTTTTATTTCTTTGTGTTTTTCCTCTTTTTTCTTTACTTCTTCTGTGTGCCGTTTTCGTCGTCGCCCCTTTCTGTGCTTCTCCTCTTCGCTGCTGTCAGTCAGGCCCGACTGGGCAGCGGCGGAGGCGCGAAGTGCGTGGGGTGAATCCGAAGCCACTCAGAAAGACAAAGTAAAAGGGGGTTATTTACGCATTATTTTTAATTCTCACCCGTTCGACGGTTTTGTCTGCGTGTGTGTGGGGAGTTCTTCACACCTCTCACGACCGCGGACGTTCTGTCTGCCGCATTCATGCACAATGCTATTAATCTCCACACCTGCAATGCGCACCGACGCACACGCTCTCCTTCCTTCTCTTTTTTTTTTGTCGTTTATTCCCCCACCGTGTGCTGTTGCTTTTTCGCGTGTGTATGCGCATGGGGCCATGCCAAACACACACACACACACGTACATGTGCACGCATGCAAAGTTTCTTTCCCAAAGCGGCAACATCTTTTAAGCATGGCAGAGGAAACACCAGTCTTGGAGCATGCTCCGGTGGTGGTTGATGCCGTCGTGGATGCGACGCCGGAAAACCTCGAAGACGCCCTCCGTATTGTTCTGCAGAAGTCGCGTGAGGTCAACGGCCTCATTCGTGGTCTTTCGGAGGTCACCCGGGCCCTTGACCGCCGCACCGCGCATCTCTGCGTCCTCGCCGAGGACTGCGAGGACGAGGAATACAAGAAGCTCATCACGGCACTCGCAAAGCAGGGTGAGATTGACCTTATCAACGTCGAGGAGCGTGAGAAGCTTGCACAGTGGGCGGGCCTCGCAAAGCTGGACAGCGCTGGAGAGCTGAAGAAGACATTTAAGTGCTCCTGCGTGGCGGTGCGCGACTTCGGCGAGCGGACAAGGGCGCTCGACTTTCTCCTCTCCCACCTGAACTGAGCTGGATTGGAACCATAACGCCAGCACCATCAGTGACGGGAGACGGAGGAATGACGAGGCTGCGGTGTAGGTGTGCGTGGGTGTGACGGGGCACGTGTTTGTGGGCTTTCTCTTCCTGACGACACGGCTCAGGTGAGCTTTTCCGGCCACTGCGTGTACTGTGCATTTCCACGTCCACTTAATTGCGTGCTCTTCGATGGCAATGTTTTCCGTGGGAAAAGAAGCTGCAATATTATTTTGTTTTGTTTTGTTTTACTGTTCCATTTTTTTTCCCCCTTTCATGTATTCGCTGCTTGAGCCCTTTGTGCTCTGCCTTGCATGAGGTGTGCACACGGGCGGTATGCATACATCCATGTGCATCCGCGTGTGACTGCACTCCCACTTGCCTGCTCCGTGGGACGAGCGCCGCTGCCGTCGTGTCTGCGTTGCCCCAACTGTCATCATCTTTCTTTCCTCGCTCTTTTCTCTGGTGATTCCCCTATTTTATTTTTATGAGTGAGCGTGTGGAGGTTCGCATTAAACCAGCGAAGAGTAGGGCTGTGGGAGACAGCGGAATCCACTGCGTGTTAGCAGGCGCATACACACACACACACACACAGCAGGAAGCATCTCTGGTACACGTCCTAGCGTCTCGGCATGAGCGGGGCACCATTCATCCCGGAGCTGCCCCTCGGTACCGTTGAGACGGGCGGTGGCTGGGGCGTGGGGGAGCAGTTTGCGCGTCTCCCACCGGCATCCGTGCAGGCGGAGTCTCGCACTCCGGTGTACACAGTGGCACGAGAGAGGAGCGGCGACAACAACGACACCAACGACTCTGACGAAGACTCCGTTACTCAAGAGGGGTCGGCGGGGGTTGAGGCGGCGGAGGCAGAGACGGTGCCGACGACGCATTACAGAAGGATTTCTGCGGAGGACGATAACACGTTTGTAGACCACGGTAGCACGGCACCTCCTGCGGCCCCCGGCAACGATGTTGTCAACGCCGTAAACACCGGGGCCCCTCATAGTATGACCGACTTCCGCGGTGGTAGATCTCCGAATCAGGGCCCAACCCCAGCGCACTCGCTGCACGTGAAGTTTCTACGCCCTGTATCGCGTATGATGGCAGGATTGCCGGTGCGGGCGACGGTTGTTGCGCCTGATGGTGCCTCTCTATGGGTTGCCTTTGGCGATGATCCCGTTACAATGTTAGATTTTAAGGGATCGGAGCTAAATATTAGCCGAACTGTGGATGTTACTCAGGTGCACGCCATGGCGGTGGTTCGTGTACCAGCGGCAAAGGTGGTGTCGTTTAAACCGTCTTCTCTCGCTGTACATCATGCAAGCCATGCAGCTGCGTCAAAACCGCAGATGAATGAGGGGGATGAGGCGGACACGTATGTGCTGTGGTGTGGTATCACCCGTGGCAGCATTGTAATTGTAGATCTCACGAATTTTAGCATCTCAGGTGTCATTAAAGGGGCACATGCTCAGACTATTAGTGGACTCTGGTACCTTGGCACTGGCAAGGTGTGGACCGCCGGCTACGATAAGGCGCTAAAGGTGTGGGATCCACAAACCCGTCGTCGTCTGAAGAGCCGTAACATTGCCACCATCGTTTCGGATCTTTGCTACGTGCGTAGCTGTAAGCAGGTGTGGACGATCAGTGACGACGCGTACATTCGCGTCTTTGACGCCGCCGGGAACAATGTGCAGGTGGCGAAGCCGTCGCCTGACAAGCCGGAGAATACTCTCCGCATGCGAAGTGAGATGCGTTTTATCGCGTACTACGAACCGGCTACTCTCGTCTACGTTGCACTCACACGCAGCCTCGCCGCCATTGACCCAGCAACGTGTGAAATAACTGCCGTCATCAACGCCAGCATCAGCTCCATGACGTTCATGGAGAATACGGCTCTCGTGACCGGATACGGTGAGTGGCTGCAGTGCACAAAGGAGGCGATTGGTCTCATCGACCTCAGCGACCCATACGCGCCGTCGCTGCTCTTCCGCGGAGGTCCACTGGGAGGGGGCGTGACATCCGTCGGGATGCGGCTCCTCACCGCAGTGCCTTTTGCCGTCGCTGCTCAGGAGGCGGGGCGGTCAGAGCGCTTCCTTTCAGTGTTCAGTTACGAGGACTCCAAGGCGTTCTGCCGGGGCGGAATAGTAGCGTCGGTTCCGCAGCAGCGCAAGATTACCCTCGACGCCCCAAGCACGCGGCGCCCAGTGGCCGCGTTGCAGCAGGGGGTCACCGCCGCCAATGCCACTGCCGCGTCTACGCCCTTGGCGGCGATCTCGCCTTGTCCGGTCGCGTTTGCCATAGGCAAGCGGGGGCTGCTGATACGCGAGGAGAGCAATGCCACCGCTCTGCCGCCGCATCGCGGCGCCGTGGTTTTCTCAAGGGTGGATGGCAGCAGCGGCGGCAACAGCACGCTCATCCCCTACCCCAACTTGTATACCTCTGGCAGCAGCACTAACAATAATAAATACGTCTCCGTCGCCGCCACCAGTGCGGTCAGCGGCAGCACGAATCGAAGCACCGCCGCCGCCATCCAGCCAGACTACGGCCGCAATGTCAACAAAAGTAGCCTCAACGGTGGTGTGGAGCAGCGAAACATCGCGGTGCAGCTGACGACGCCCCCAGAACTACTGGCCTCGCTGAATAACATTGAAAAGAAGACGGAGGATCTCAAGTCGTTGCTCGCTCAAATGCGCGCCTCGCGTCCACTGCTAGACGACTTCTCCAAGTTGCACGCGTTAGTCTCTCGCATGGCAATGAACAACCAATTAGGGCTCTCCCTCGATGCGGAGGAGTCGGAAGCTATTGAGCGGGAGTACCAATCCCTTGAGGGGCGCGTCATCGTTTCAGCCGTGGAGCGTCTGCACAAAAGTGCAGCTGCTTCATTGCTGCCCGCGCCACCAAACTCCACCCGCGTCCGTGAGAGCATTGCACGACGTGACAATGTTGGCAGTGAGGCAGCCACACCACAACTCTTGTCAGATAGATGTCCACATAGTGTGACAGAGATTATGAATAGCAGCAAATTAGAGGAGACGGGCAGTGTTGGGGGCTCGGAAATTCCGCCGGAGTCGTTGCTGCGCTGGGTTGCCCAAATCACGAGATCTGGGCAGGGCGAGAGGGAGTCCCACCGAAGACAGCTAGAAACGTTGCAGCGGCACAATACACGAATTGTGGAGCGCAATGCCGCGCTGATCAACGGTATTACGCGCATAGAACAGGCCCTTCGCACGCAGGCACAACGATTACTCGAAGACGCCGACGCCGCTGCTGCGGCTGCCGTGGCTTCGTCCGACGGCAGCTGTGATTCCTCTGGTCACTTGTATGCCCAGAGACATATTCAGCTCCTTAGTCAATCACTGCAACAGATTGAATCGGTGTCCGTGTCAAGTTCCCCCAAGGAGATTACAGAGCTGATGAGAAGCCTTGTGACACTTATCTCGAGGCTGCTGTCGGCACAGCAGTTTGTACACGGCGACGAGGGCGCGCGACGTGCCCCCTATGATTCCACATCGGGAAACATGAATCATGATGCAGGTCTCGATACAACGCGTGTGTTGCTTCAAAACGGTGGTACTCTTTTAAGCGGACGGTCGCTCTCCCCAAAGTCCACCGCGATGACTGTGTCGACGATGCGGCCGCAGCGAATGCGTGGCATCGTTGAGGATCAAATTGCCTCCGTTGAAGAATTTGTGAGGGATGTTGGGAAATTCTGGGGCTGTTTGGAAGAAACGCAGAAAGTTATATACGTTCCATACGAGGGTGGAAAGAAACCTGATCTTTTCCAGGACTTTATGCAGTTTGGCGTCCTCTGGCACTTGCGCGAGGCGCAGGTTATGGTGGATGTCTGCAGAAAGGAGTCCGTCATGGCGATGGCGGAGGTTCTTTTGCCTGATATTGAGAGTAAAGAGGGTACTGTAGATAACACAATGATGGGCGCTACACGCGACACCGCCGCCCTCGCCGCCCCGGAGAAGGCAGTCCATAACAATGGCGCAAGCAGCTCCAAGAGTAATAGTGTAACCGTGAACAACGCCACCAGCGACTTCCGAGCATCGTCCAGCGGTGTCGCGGTGGCGGCACGAAGCGACTCGGCTCGTCTAGTTAGCATAGGCCTTGAGCTGGAGTCAGTCGCCTCACACATTCGTGAGTCACTTAAAGAGTCTGGGCGAAACCTTCAAAAGGGAATTGCGAGGGAAGCCTTTGGTGGCTTTTTCTTAATTCCGAATGAGAAATTTCTCATTGACGCCACAAAACTGCGTGGAATGTTGTACTGGGAGCGCGTCTCAATGCATCTACTCTACGAATGCCTCGAGTGTCTTGAGGAGCTCCTGTTTCACAGCGATGAGCAGCCGCGTGTGTTTCGCAAAGACAACTTTAAGGCCTTGGAGCAGCAGGTGGTCGACTGGCGTGTCTTTTTGGAGGATGTCCACGGGGAATCCACGCAGCTGCGTTCTGTTATTCTCTCGTCGCAACAGGAGGGCGGTGCAGGGCGGACGTCGACAACAACGGTAGGGAGTTCGGTTGGCTTTACTCGCAGTGGCTCGCTGGGCTCGCGTGAGCTGAGTCGTAACAATGAAGGCGATACGCTTAGTCCAGAGCGAAGTATGCAGTGGGTGATGCTTTTTGGGCTTTACGTGCAATACGCCGAGCGAACAGAGGCCACTCCGATACTGTTTGCATCACATGACCCCAGCGACACTGTGACTGCGGCAGATTTTGGGCTGATGGCGCTTCTTGACGAATTTGCCGAAGTCGTGGAGACGGTGCGTGCAAAGAGTGCGGCGTTGCTGCGCTACTGCCAGAAGATACAAGGCCGAATTGCTCGCATCGTAGAAGATGTGGTGGTGAATGAGGAGACTGGTCAAGTCTTCGTTCCGGCGTGCCGCGGGGGTCCGATTGCTGAGCGGTACTGCAAGGGCTTTTGTCACGATATGAACTGAGAGAGACTCTGGGTGGATAAGTGGGGCACTGGGGTGTGCGCTTTATGCGCCTTTGCGCGGGATGGCAGAAGACACTTTTGTTTTAATTGCGCCGCTTCGTTGGCTGCAAATGTATAGCTTGAACTTCCTGCACGTAACTATTTAAGCTAATTCCGAGGAGGGAGGAGGGAGACCTCACTAAAACGCGTGAGAAGGAGGGCAACAAACCCGCAAGCAAACCCATAAACGCAGGAGCAGTGGTCACGGATGCCGATAACCCGATGCTCAACAGGGAGTGCTCTGCGTAAGTGTGCTTGGGGCAAGAGGGAGGTGGGTGAGGAGCAACTTGTCCTCTTTGTCTCCTCCAAAAACAGGAGCGGAGTGAGGGTTATGGCCATGAAATGAATAGATGAATACAATACCCGCATGCACGTTTCCGCCTCTGCCGCCAATGAAATGTGGGGGGGCATTGTTGTTTCAAAATGACAGACTAACTGCCCCACCAGTCACGGCAGCACATCTGCTCTGACAGCGGCTGCCCCCTGATGTTTCCGTTTCCTTTCTGAGTGGCCGAGGGAGGAGGAGGACGTAATGGCGAGGTAGGGGTCGCCTTACTTTTTTTTCTTTCTTTTTCTTCGTTCTGTGTGTGTGTGTGGGGGGGGGGGGGATGTGCTTGGCGTCAGCTTCGCCCCCCAATTTCGTCTACATGCACGCCGCCAGTCCATTTCTCTCACTTTGTTTCCCAGCTTTTTTTTTTAATTCTCTCCGCCGCTGTGCGCCGCCTGCACAAAGTGAAGTAAAAAAAAAAGAGGAAAAAAGTTATGAGTGAATCTTCTTTTTTTTCCCCCCCGTTTGCTTCCATTCTGTATGTGGTGTTAGCCGAGCAACGGAGCGGGCGATAAGGATAGAAATATATATATGTATAAATATAAATATATATTTATATACATGTGTACCTTACATGCATCGTTTTGTGTTTTTCTTCCACTGCCCTCCTGGCTGATGATGGCGCGTGGCGGATGAAGGAGAGACGGTCGCGGGCTTTTGTGTGTGTGTGTGTGTGTGTGTATGTGTGCGAGGGCACGTGTGAGTAGGCGGGGGGCGGGGTGGGATGGCGGCGGCACGTGTGACAGACAGACCGAGGGGAGTGACGAGGAAAAGGAGCCAGAACCGAGGGTACTGGCACTTGCGCCCTCCCATGCTCTCCTTCACCCTAGAGAGTAGCAATACCCGTCCTTGCTGCGGGGGAGAGGCAAAAAGTAGACATGTGATACAACGGCCCTCTTCCTCGCGGGGACCCACACACTCGGCGTAGGTCTTTGTGTCTCTCCTCATTTCTCTTCTCTGACGTTAGTATATGTGCATTGTTTCTGCCTTGACCCACACTCGGCAGAGGCAGTGCATTACTGAAGAAAGGAGTAGGGGAGTCTCTTTTTTCCATGCGGGATTGCAGAAGCGATGGAGCGATTCTCCATCTTGTTTTACCAGATTAATCCACACGATTATCCTCTCTTCCTGCAGTGCGAGCGCAGCACGGAGCAGCCGGGGGTTATTCTGATGGAGTCTCGCGCGATGCAAGGAATCCGCTGCTTCGTTCCTGTGGGCTATCTCTTCTCTATCTTGTACTTCTATGGATACCACCGCCCCCGCCTGCCTTTTGCCGACCGCCCCTTGTCGAAGCTGCACCACTACTTCTACCCGAGCGCGGGGTACAGCACCCCAGTGGGGGCTCTTCTTGGATTGGCGTATGCCTACCACTACGATGGCTGCGTGGCGTGCTCAGAGGAGAGCGTTGCACGCGCGATAAAGCGTGAACGTGCCATGGCAGTTATTGCATGTAGGCAGCACATGCAGAAGCAGCGAGAGGAGGAAGAGGCAGCGCGGAAGCGTTTTTCTTGGTGGCGCCGCCTTGTTTCATCCAAGGCGGCCGCCGCGCCACTTACGGCATCCTACGAGGATTTTCTGGACCCTAACGGCATCTTGAGTGTCGGAAGGCAGACGGCTGAGGTACAGGATCCGAGTTTTTATCGGCACTACAGCAAACAACAGGTGGATGCCTTGGTGAGCGCGGCGATGAAGCTGCGGCAGTCACCAGAGGAGCGGCGTTGGCTGCGGACCGCGGGTCGCCTGGGCGGCTATGGCATTATGGGAATGCTGCTGACGTGGAACAGCGGTGGGATGTTTTTTCGGTTGTTCATGGGACTTGGGCTGGGTGTTGTAAGCGGCGCGCTCATATCTGGGACGAAGTTGGATTCATGACGCGAGTGGACTCTTTCGAGGAACCTGAGGGAACTTTGTAAGTGTCTCTCTCTCTCTCTCTCTCTGCTGTGTGTGTGTGTGTCGTCTTGATGGGGAGGAGGCTGCTTCTCGCGATGTCGTTGGTGCTATGGAGCGATGCGTGGGCACAGTTCACGTTACAGCTCTGCCGATTGCTTCCCTCTCGCTTGTTTCTCTTCATTTAACTCAAAACAACACCACCAACAACGACGCAACGCTCTGCACATGTGCACAGGTGGGAGGAAGGGGGGTGGCGAGACGTGGGGGCCGCACAGAGCACGGCGATGTCGGCATGTGGCGCTGCGGCGAGGGAGGCCGTTGACCCTGTCGACATCTTGCGTCATTTCGTTCTTGCTGCGCCGCCCGGCGAGCTCAAGGGCGTCGTCAAAGCACTTCGTGTGGTGACAGGCGATGACCACCTCTTCTTTGAGGTTATTCCACGTCTTTGCATGGAACACCATATGCGGCATTTGACACCTTTCACGATGCCTGCTGCGTGCGCCAAGCGACACGAGAGCAAAGTTCGCTTTGTGGAACCCAACAGACCTGCTACGGTTGCCAGCGGCCACGTCTCTTTCTTGGCCGGGCGGCAGAACCACCTCGGGACACGTATAAGATGCTTTGCCAAGATGCGTCGCCTGCATGCTAGCAACGTGGCAGGGGATGTGGAGGAGTATTTTCGGCAACAACACTTCACCTCTATTCCTAGCAGCGACAGAGCCAGCCAAAAAAGTTGTCAAGACACGGAACTCGACGTCTGCGAGAGCGGGGCTTCTGGCAGCAGACAGCCACAGACAATTCAGCGGCAGGAGGAAGAACCGTTTGACCCGTTCGCTGATATTGTGCCATCGGGGGGGTTTGGCAAACTCGAGCATGTTTTTTTTGATATGGCGCTGCAGATGTACATAGAGGTTGACCCTGTGGAACAGCTGTGTTTGCGCGTTATCCCGTTTACGTCGACTGTAGCACCAACAATGCCGGAGGTGCTGCGGGTGACTGAAAAGCAGGCCACAGGCCTTCACGGTGGGCCTCTTGGTCACACCCGCTTTTTGCTTCAACAGGAAGTTGCCCGCTACGTACAGGCGTGTTTTGGGGAGGCGGCGGCGGCGGCGGCTGAGACGGTTGCCCCGCAGGCAGAGCGGGGCGCGGCGGGGACGCGGGAGCCGTCTCACCCAATGGGTTCCGCACGAACACTTTTTGGGGTCCCCTGCACATCCACCGCCTGCGCAGGAAGCATGGTCGTTCTGCAGCCACATTCTCACGATGGCGGAGAGGATTGCCAGTCGCTTGTCATTGCGGCGGCGGCAGTGCGTCAATTCCCGCGCAACATGTGGTGCGGGCGCTGGAAATCCATTTTTGTCGTGGAGTGCACCACCAACCCCGCGTCCGAGGCGCGGGTGTGCGTCAAGGGTGAGACGCAGGTCTACGCGCACTACTACGAGGAGGGCAATATGCATCTGGAGGTCGTGGAGGAGTTGCCACCTACGCCATTGCCCGAATGGCCTGTGAACATCTTCGCGGAAGGTGGCGGCGAGATGGCAGGGTCCACCGACACGTGGGGGCTGTGCTCCGCCGTGATGGAAGTTATTCAGCAGCATGAGCAGCGTATCCACGACGCTGTGTTGAAGACCGCGAGGGACTCGGGTGATTGTGCACTGCGGGCTCTGCGTCGGAGATTACCCATTACGGGGCAGCTGTTCAATTTTCGCCGCGGACAGGCCCTACCACGGCCGATGTTCACACGTCCCGGATACGACACTTAGCGACGGCCCATCCCCCCCTCCTCCCCCCAATGACGCAAAGGCAAAGTTCAACGAAAGTGCAAACAAGAGTAGCACGAAAAACGAAAGGAAAACACAAAGGCAACGAAAGGGAGATGTGACACATGTGGGTCTGTTTGTGTATCGATGGGCCCTCTTGACTCTCTGTGCGTCTATGTGCGTGGGGCTGCTTGGGGGTCCAGAGCTCTCATGGTCTTGGCTCCTTTTTTAGCTGTGCTTTTTTTTCTTCTACCTTCTCCTCCCCCCCCGACTCCCACTGCCTTCTTCGCCTCGTGCAACTTGGAACCCCGCGGCGTTTAGTAGGCGGTGGGCGACGCTGGTGCCTGCGAAAAGGGAAATTTGTTTATGCATGGGGGCGCGCGGCACAACAGTTGTGGCGGGGGCGGGGGCCGTTCGACTGCTGCGCTCCATCCATCCGCTTTGCCCGAGGCGTCACCGTCTTCACTGCCACAGTTCTCCCCGACGGAGGTGCAGTCATGGGGTGACTTTGGTGCCTGTGGGGGAGTTGACGCCGCGGTCCACTGCGCTGTTTCACACCTACGGCGCGTCGGCGGCAGGCAGAGTTCCGGTAGTCACGGATGCCGCCGCCTTCAATGCGGTTCTCCGTGACATGCTTCTGCCTGACGACTCGGGCGCCAGCAGTGTCGTGCGTGACTTGCGACGCATCTTGAGTGAGAAGCGCGAGGAAGTTGCGCCATTGCTAGCCAAAAAGCTCCGCATCGACGAGGCCGTGGACAACCACTATGTTCCACTGCTCCGCTACCTAACCCTCGCCTTGCTTCTGACGCAGTTTCTCATTCTCTTCCGCTGGGTCTTCATCGTGTTTGACTGGAATTTCGTGGAGCCCATGACCTACTTCCTTGGATACACTGTAGTGTGGGCGAGCATCGTCTTCCACTGCTACTACGGCAAGGAGCTCACGTGGGAGGCGATGCTGGACGCGGTGGCGCAACGCCGTCGTGCGCGGTTATACAAGAAGGCGGGAGTCAACGTGGCGGACATCGATCGGCTGCAGCGACAGGTCTGCATGCTTGAAAGGATAGTGTCAAAGTATTGAGTGCACGCCGGTGATTCCTTGGGCCTTACAACAGCAGCGAGAAGAGGGCCGGTCCGCTTCTTCTGCGCCCCTAGCCATCTATTCCCTCGCGGTGGTCAATGTACGTCCAGCGGCTGCCCCTGCGTCGGTGCGCATGTACCTCTCCGGGCGGAGCAGGTGGTGGGGGACACGCCGGAAGAATACCACGAGGGCGGGGGGACAGTTGCACTCGTTTGTGCGCGTCACCTCAAGTCTTTGGAAGTAGAAACACATGTTTTCTTCTTCTTTTCTACGTTCCAAGTTGCTTTTACTCCAGGTTCCCTCTTCCCCCGCTTTGTTTCCCGGCCATAGGGGGAAAAAGGTGCGACGGCAAGGCCAACTGGCGGAACAACAATGAATGGCCTTGTAGACGTCAAACTTCGCCCTCTTCGCACTGCTTTTTTTTCTTTCTATTTTCTCTTTTCTGGCTATAGTAGCTAGAAGGCGGAGGCAATGCAGTTTGTCGTGCGCAGCTCTCAGGGCGAAGGAAGTGAGTTGTTTCGCGATGCGTTATCGATTCGAATGCGTGTCTTTGTGCAGGAGCAGGGAGTACCGGTCTCCATAGAAAAGGACAAGCACGACGCGCACGCTGTGCACTTTGTCCTCTACGATGAGGGAGATCCAATGCGGCAGCGAAAGCAACGTTGCCCAGCCGCCGCGGCGCGACTTCGTGTTGTGAAACACTGCGGCGTTCATGCATACGACGCGCCCGTGGCCAAGGTCGAGCGTGTGTGCGTACTGAAGCCGTACAGGGGCAAAAAGTGTGGCGTTCTCGTTATGCAGGCGGTGGAGAGGTACGCGAGGGAGAAGATGGGAGTATCGGCGCTCGTCCTCCACTCGCAGGCGCCGGTGAGGGAATTCTACAAAAAACTTGGGTACCACGAGACATCGGAGGAATTTATGGAGGCCAACATATCGCACCTCACAATGTCGAAGATGTAGGCCCTGTGGCGCCTCGCGCCCTGCACGCATGCCCAAGATAACGTACCTTTTTTTATTTTTATTTTTATGCTGCTCTGGCACCCTGTTAGGTCTGCCTTCCGCGCCGTGGAGCGGCACATTTCTTGTGGCCATTCAGGGCACGGCCAACAACTAGGGTGGGAATTACAACTCGTAATTGACGCTCCAGCTGTTTCGCTTTCTTTTGTTTATTCTCAACCTTCTCGCTTATGTGGATTGCCATCTTGGGTGTGCCGCCTCTGCATGCTTTTTTTTTCTTGTTGTTGTTGTTTTCCTCCTCACTACACCTCTCTGTTTGCAGGGCGGGGGGGGCGTGGCGCGCTCCAAACCTTCTCGTGCTTTTTTTTTCGTTGCTTTTAGTGTCGTTGGCGTGTCTCACGCAACATGCATCGGCCGGATCGCCTTGTTGTCCGTGGCCCCGTCACTTCTGCCAGCCGCCCACGTCGGCGGGGGGGCGCATCGGGGCGTCCGTCGACTGGCGGACCGTCGCAGCGGGAGGAGCAACAACAGCTGCTGCTGCTGCCGCAGAAGGAGCTGGAGGACTCGCAATACGCCCTGTCAAGTAACTTCACGGCGTCGTCGCCGATGATTTCTTTATGCCAGTTTAAAGACGATGCGACGGCGGCAGGCTATGGACACAGCGGCAACGCAGGCCCTGGCGGTCTGCAGACCTCTTCCTCGCTGCTGCCGCAGCTGCAGCAGCCTGTTGTGCCAGCGGCTGGGCACGCGCTGTCCGTGCTAGAGGGACCGCTTCCAGCGGAGGTGCGTGAGATTATCTATAGTCAATGCAGCGGGGAACGCGCAGAGCTGGCGGAGCGACACGCCAGGCGGCTGTTGAGCACAAATCGCCGCGTGCGCGTGTACCGTGAGGAGCTGCAGAGCGCTGTGGAGGAGGTGGGTGATGTGGCACAGCTGCTGCAGCAGCATCAGAGGGTGCAGGATGCGTTGCGAGCGGAGTTGACGGACTTGGACGCTCAACTGGAGCGACTGCTGCGTGAACGGCAGCTCTGTGAGCTGCAACTGAGTCAAGAGGAAGAGGCGCGACAGCGGAAGGATGTGAAGCTTCGCGATGCGAAGGAGCGGGTGAACGTGCTCCGCTCCACCATTGACACTATCACGAAGGAGTCTTTGTCTGGCTACGTCTTGCTGCGCCAGTTAGTGCCGAATCTGAACGTGGAGAACTACGTCGCTTAGCGGTGCAGAGAAATAGAGGCTGCGTGAGCCTGAGTGGTAGAGAGCGAGAGAAAGAGAGAGAGAGAGAAGGGTAAAACAGGCTGCTTCGCACTAGGAGATCTACGCATTTGCGTTTATGCGTGCGTGCTGACTCACTGAACATCGTTTTCCCTTTGGCTTGCGTGTTGTGTGGGTGGGTGTTTCGTTTTTGTCCTTGCCATGCGAAGTCCGTGATGGTGCTTTTCTCTCCCCCTGCGTGCGTGCACCTTTACAAAAACAAAACAAAAAAGAAATGCATCAAAATGAATTTAACAGCGTGGAGGCGGAACTCCGCGAGATCGAGGAGGAGTTTGCGTCAGGGCACATGAACGCCTTCGGCACGGCCACCACAAAAGAGAACTTCGTCCGCGAGCTCCGCAGAATTTCGGACATCGAGACCCAAGTCTTTTACAAGACCTGCGGGTTGCTGAGCGCGAGCACCTCGGAGGACCACCTCATGCGGGCGATGGTGTTTGCCGGCGCGGATCAGTCCTGCGGCGGCAGCGGCAACAACAACAGCGAAGAGGGCAGCAGCACCGCGGCAACCGCGCACTCCCACGGGCGGGAGAGCAGCGGCGCCGCCAAGCCAGTGAAGGACGGCGTTGCAACCCCGCCACAGCTGGGTGCTAGCTTTTCGCCGGGTACACCGTTGGAGCAGAGGGGCAAAGAAGCGGGGGGGCCAATGGAGGCCGTCTTTAGCGATGCGGCGCCGGCGCCGGCGCCGCCGCCATGGAGCAATGACGCGGGGTTCACCGACAGACCGTTTCAGGACGTCTCACGCCACTTCAAGCTCTTGGAGGGGGAGTTCACCGCCATTGGTGAGCACCTGCGGCAGATTTCAAAGCATGTGATGCAGCTCAACGAGATTGCGGAGCGGGTGCGGAACACGGGCGGCACCCATGGCTCATGACACGGCTCGCCGTCTACCCGGCGGGTACACTTTGCTGCGTCCATTCCATCTTCTGGGCTGCGTGACTCTTTCCAACTATGCCCTCTTCCGGGCCGGCGGTGGGTGGGAGGGCAGGAGAAGAAAACAACGACCGACCAACCCACCGATTCGCTCATGTCAGGAATTCCTCGTGTCTTAAAAAAAAAAAACGGCGACCCCTATGGCATCCTTCCCCACCACTCTTTCCCTTCCTCCCCCTCATCGTTGCCGTTTCCCCCTTTCATCCGCTGTCTAATTGCCTCGCCTTTTCTTTTCCTTCCTGTCAATATTTTTTCCCGGAACCGTGGGATGAGAACATCCGTGCTAAGTGTGACAAGTGAAGGAAACAGTCATGAGCGAGATCATTCTTGTGGAGCCCTGTATGTTCTGTGCTCCGCGCGCTGTCGTTGAAACCGGCGTGGGGGACCCGAGTGTGCCGGACAGCGGTTTCATTGCCTCATCGCCCGCGTCGCACCACACCCACGTGGCCCTCTATGAGTGGATCCGCAAGTTTGTGGAGGGGGACTGGGGGCAACGCCCGGACGCGACTATCGAGCTGCACGAGCTGGAGGATGTGGAAACTGCCCTCCGTGAGCTGATTGCACTCGACGAGAGTCAAGTCCGCACGAACCAAATCATCAGTTGTCACCTGGCGTCTCTGCAGCGCGAGCAACGGCGACGAGGGCGTGAGCTCACAGTGCGAGAGGAAGTGTCGGGGTACCAGCTGCGTCGGCTACTTCATTTGGAGCGCTGCTTCAACACGGCGCGAGGTGAGAAGACGCTAAACGCCCAAGTTTCTCTGCAGCATGCGGAGAAACTGTTGAAGGAGGAAATGCAGGAGTTCCTGGCGGAGGTGCATGCACTGGAGCTTTCACGCGCCCAGGAGGCGCAGAGGTTCGCGGAGGACCGACTACGGGCGTCAATGCGCGTGGTGGAGCATCAGACCGCACGACTGGAGTCCATAAAGAGGGAGCTAAACGCGGTTTGCGCTTCCTTGAACGACCTGGCGGCAAGCGCCAAAGTAGAGGCACGCTGCGACGACAGTCGAGGAAGTGTGTATTCAGCGCTGCGTGGATGTGAGAACGTGCTTTGCACCCCACAACAAGTTATACTTGCCGTGCAGGATCGAATCAGGGAACTGGAGCTGCGGCAAGTGGGCATGGTCCACGAAGCGAACTCAACAGTGGCGCCGAATGGCACGTTTGACGCCTTGACATTGGCAGTTTGCCGGTTGGAAGAGACACGGGCGGACTTTTATGCGTTAAGCCGTCAGGCCACTTCATCTGGTTTGCAAGGAACCAACGAGGCCGTTCACCACGGAAGCAGCAGCAACAACAACAACAACAACAGTGGCTGCGTGAAAACGCCGCCGCTACCAACATCTTCCTCGTCGTCGTCAGCCTCTCCGTTGTTTTCAAACACTGGCCCCAAGGAGTTCTTCATGGAATCTCGCGCCGGTGTAATTTACCAGGCGGTCTTGCATGAGCAGCGGAGTTTAATTACGACGTTGAACTGCAAAGGTGGTGTGCATCCAGTTCTCCTTCGTCTGTCCACCGAGAGCGACGCAGAGCGATATTCACGACGGCCTCTGAGTCTTTTTGCGGGGCAGAGTCTCTCGCTGCATCAGTGGACCCACATGAACGGGACACGAGCGACGAAACGGGCGGCTGTTTTCTACCCAATGCCACCTGGACGTGACGGCGAGGTTCCGAAGGAGCATCTCGAGTCTCTGCTCTTTGCAAAGGCCGATGAAAAAGGTGATTCGTTTGACATCATCGATTTGCGCGCTGAAGGCAGAGACACAGGCGTCTACTTTACAGGCGACGCCGTTGCCTTCTCAGCAGATGGCAGCTTTATGTATCTATGTTGCGGTGCCGCTGACACCTCTACCGAGGCGCGACGTATGGCAACAGCGCGTATGGCGGAGTTGCTGCGCCGCCGCCTCGGTGTGTCCTCTGCTAACTGCTTCTGTTATTACTCCTCCTTTTCTACTACCACGAGTCTTGGCTGGGTTGGTGCGGGCGTCTGCGCGTGGGCACTGGAGGGGATGTGGTTTGTCTCCCGTGAGGAGAAGGAGTCGTTTATCTCGCACCTGCGCGAGGCGTACTGCACTGTTATTCATCTCACACGCGCAGAGGTGGAGAATTTTGCCGGTGAGTGCGTGGAGGTTGTCGCGCGTTCGCCCGGCGACGCCGCGCCGAAGCGGCGGCTTGTCATATCGTCCCACGCCCTTCGCTCACTTTCGGAGCAGCACCGCGCCACGTTGACGGCGTGGTACGGCGACGGTGGGTGCGTCGTACCGTCTTTGCCAACGATCGAGCGCGTCCGCGGCCACTCGGCGAGGTCGATGATGTTAACCGTCGTGACGCACGGCTCACACCTGCCGCCGCCGCGTGTGCGGGGATTTCTCTCGTTTCTTGGCATTAGGGCGAGGGAGAGAGCGCGGGCGAGCGAGCAGCTGGACGACTGACAGGGCTGAGGCCTCCTACGGAGATCAGTTTTGTCGACGCCCCGTTTGTTTCTCGACAGCTTGCCTTTTTCTTTCTAAAAAAACAAAACAAAAGAATGATTATTATGCCTTATTTATTCATTATTATTTCTTTCTAGTTGCTGCCAAGAGTTGTTGCCAGCGGTATAAGAAGAGCTGGGCCCGTTAAGGACGCTGACGCAGGGCCCTTTGCCTTTCCATTGCTTGCTTGAGCCATCGTGCGTGGCCAGTGGCCGACGCGACCTGTGCGGCGGGGTTTTCGCCAACGAGCGGGAGGCGTCCTGCGCCTGAGTCTTCTGCAGCAGTCAACCTCCCCGCCTCTGCGCGTGTGACTGACTCTTATCAAGCACACACACACACACACACACACACACACACACACATCCCCCAACGTCAGCATATTTGTGCATCTATAACTACTTGCAGTCGAGCATCACTGCGACGTTCCCGCCCCGCCTGTGAGGTGAGTGTGCCCTCGATACAGTAAGAAATGAGCGAGGTGCTTCTTGTGCTTCCCCCAGCGCCTGCCTGTAGCACTGGGGAGTCGGAGAACCTCTCCACATTCTCCTTCTCTGTCAACCACTCGTTGAATTATTCAAGAAGAGCGCACTCCGAGAACGAAATTGTTGCGTCTGCGGCCGGTTCTCCAACAAGGCGAGTTTCTCCTCACCCACCACCTCTCCACGCTGAAGAGAGTTACCAGCGCATGCTAATCACGTTGGAGTGTCAGTTGGAGTTTATGACGTTAGCGCAGTGGCGCCTTGCAATGGAAGCGCGCCTCAAAACGGAGCTCCTGCGAGGTCGGATGCAAACCGTGATGTTGCAGGAGGCTCTCTTACAACACCGTGTGACTCGCGTCGCCCATGTCGAGGAGCGCTTTGGGCAGCCTGTGGGGTGCCCTACCTACCCGCGTCTCATGCAGGACGAGTTCTTCGAGCGGGAGTACGTTGCGTTGCAGGAGACAGTGGGGTTTCTGGCTATTTGGTCGAAGCTCATACCAGCACGGCTGTCTATGCTGGAGACGCCCACTTTCTTCGCCGAGGTCACGCCAAAGTCGCCGGGCGTGGGGCTCGCAACATTCACCTTTGCACCAAGTTTGCTGACCGCAACCGGTACGGACAACCGCCTGAATGCGTTGCGCAAAACTATTCGGAGTCTACGGGGTGACCTCGCCGCCGTCCGCGACGAGGCGGAGGTGCTTAGTTTCGCACTTGCTGAGGAACAACCGGACGACAGCGCCGGGACCGAAGGTGCCCGAAGTGTCACAAATACAACTGGAATGTGCAAGGGAGGAGGCTCGGAACATGCGAGTTATGCGATCACTGTCATGCGGTTGGCAGCGCGGCAGGTGGACGAGCTGCGCGGCAAGGTGTTTGGGCTTACGAAGCGGCTGTGTGAGAGGGAGCAGTCCCTGGATAGCGCTCAACGATGCCTGGCCGACGCGAAGGAGCGCGGCGCGCAATTGCAGCAAATTTTGAACGCCACGGAGGAGGTGGCGGCGGCAGCCGCCTCGCAATGCCAGTTGCGCGTTTCTCGCGCCGCTGCCTCTGCTCAACATGACGGCGCTGGGAAACAGCTGGAAAACACACCTGAGACGTACGCGATGCGGGTGTTGCAGGAGCTTCGCCGATCTGCATTAATGCTGGGCAAAGAAATCGATTGTCAGAAAGAGAGGACACGGCGAGAGCTACGTGAGCGAGACGCGGTGCTTGAGATGGTATACTCACAGGTGGGGAGGCTGGCATCCCTCATGCCGCATTCTCTGTCTTTCTCTGGGTGGAAACAGGAGGGGGTTAACATGACGAACATTACCCTTCAACTGGAGAGCATCATCACGGCTGTGACGGCCTTGAAAAGTGACCACGACGAGGGACTCGCGAGGGGCGCTCAACTCTTTCCGTCGGTGCCTCGGTCGTCGGAGGTGGCCGCGCTGCGATCGACCATTGAGCAAATGCGTTCAACAATTGAGCTGCTACTCTGCGAAGCGGGCCGCGCAGGCGAGGCTCATTTCGGCGTCGCTTCTGCCGTTCCTGCGTTGCCCATCGCAAATTGTCGCACGGATGTTCTGACGATGGTGCTGCGCCGGCTTGAAGAGGTGCGGGGTGAAAAAATATTTTTGGAGCTCCAGCTTGAGGAGAAGCGCAGACATCCTCCACCGCTTGTGAGTCAGAACTCGTGCCATGGACAAGCCATTGCGGATGATGCTGAAGGGGGAACAGGGCCTGGTGATAACACGTGGTTTCAGTCTGTTCACCGGCTTTCTGAGGCCAGCATACTCTTGCAGGACGAATTGAGGCTAGAGCGGGAGGTTGGGCTGTCGCTGAGGGCGAGGCTTACGGATTCTGAGCGGTTTATACGTGAACTGCAGAAGCAGTGCCGTCGACTGCGTCAGAGTGGACGCTTTGATGCCTACGAGGTCATGGAGCAGTTAGGGAGTGACAGTGACGAGGATGCCGCGGAGGAATCTGATGGCGACAGCGGCGATGATGGCACATGCATGCCTTTCATGGAGTCTCAGCAAGCGAGGGGAAAAAAGGCTATAGGGGGGATGTGCCCAAGTGAGGAGTTGTGTACGGCGTCCATCTCCAGGCGTCATGCGAAGTCCCCGATAGCGTCGACGGACACCTCATTTTCGCTGCGACCGCTGGCTGGGATCGCAGGGCCGCTTGCCTCCATGTCTGAGGGGGAGCGGATTGCTTGTGCGCGAGATCAGCATCGATTGCTGGAGGCAATGCGTGAGGTGCACGGCATTAAGCTCTCCACACTCTTAATGGATGAAGAGCGCCAGCGGTCGTCGTGCAACCCGCATGACATTTGGGGTGTCTTTCTTGCGTGCAGCATCTCTTTGCACACATTCTTTAAGGCGGCTGGGCCTTCTGTAAAATTTGCACGGCACGTGGCAGTTATTTATCCGCTTCCACCCACCATGGCGTACTCGCTGCCTGTGCGTCAGCTTCTGTGTCCCCTCAAGGGCCGCCGCACGCCATTGCATGCGAAAAACACTGGAGCATCTGTGGAAGTTTTTGACCTTCGTGAGGAGTTTCAGTCCACGGGAAATTATCTTCGAGGGTGCATGGATGTTTACTTCTCCCAAGATGGCCGCTTTATGTATGCATTGACTTCCGCAGACGCCGATGTAATTGCGCGGCTGTGCGCACCGGATTGCCTCAACATTCCTGCAGAGCGCCAATTCCGCTTCGCTGGCTCACTGCCGAAAGGAATGCCAATCCACAAGCGTGGGGGCAGCAGCGGCAGTAATAGCAACAACAACAACAACAAGAGTAGCAACACGATCAACCACAACATCATGTATGCAGGCGAGGCGGATGCGGCGCCACTTCCAATGGATATGTTGGGTTGGTGTGGCCGCGGTGGCATGTGCGCATGGGCGGTAGATTGCATGCAATTTGATTCTGCAGCAGAGAAGGTCCGTTTCGAGAAGCATTTGCAGAGCGAGTACCGCCTCGTGCTACGCCTCTCTGCGAGGGAGGTGCAGCACTTTGTGGGGGGCAGTATGGAGATGATGGGGCTGAACAGCGCCGACAGGGCCGTGGCGCGGCTTTTCATGTCACGGACGGCGTACGAGGCGCTCTCCCCGGTGCATCGCGTCCAACTCTTGCAGTGGTACGGTGGACCGCAAGCTGTGACGCTGTTAAATCTGGTGAACATTGAGCGTGTGACGGCCGCGCCTCTGCGGCGTCTTGTGGTGCTGGTGCAGTGGCACGGCCGCGTGCCTCTCTCCAAGACGCCTACAGGCGAGACCCTTGAGCGGTTTGGCATCCAGCATCCAGAACAACGCCATCTGCTACGACAGTTTGTGTCTTCGCAGCGCCCCAGCCTTTGAGTCGGCTTCTTCGTTGCTTATCTTTTTTGTTTGTTTGCTTGCTTTTTCTCTTTTCTTTTTTTTATATATATAGTTTACTTGAGTTTCAAAATGAAACGCGGATGTTTTTCTTGCTTTCGTTCCGCTCCTTCGTGGCTTCTTGGCTGCATTTCGCGCATGGTTTTTTTTAATTTTCATCAACTTTTTTTTTTTTGCCTTGTCGCTTTCTTCCTCCTCTGTGTGGCGCGTAAGCCAATTGCGTACCCCCCCCTTCCCCCCCACTTCACGGCCCCACGCACAGCCATCCTTTTTGTCTCCTTTGCTACTTTGACCAACGTGGAGGGGGCGTTAAGACCGTGTGAAGGGCCGGGCAGCCATGCCGGACGACGAGGCGCTGCTACATATTTTTGTGGGCACCCTCTCCGCCGACAAAATTGTGCGCGAGCAGGCCGAGGCGGCCCTCACGCACGTCTCCGCTGACCCGCGGGTGATCACGCGGCTCATTCATTTTTCGTGCCAAGAGCTTCCGCCCCTCGGCGTCCCCGCGGAGACACGGCAGGCACTTCAGGCGGCATCCATCCGCGTGCGTAATGTGTTGGGCCGCAGCGATTGGAACCGGCAGCCGTATTTCACTCAAGAGACGAAGCAGGCTGTGCGGGCATGCATTGTTCCACTGCAGTGTGGTTCTCATGTACCAGAGTTGGTGCGTCGGCAGCTGCTCGCTGCGACGCGGGAGCTTATACAGTACGATTACCCACATCGATGGCCGTCGCTGATGCCGCAGCTGAGGCTAATACTCGACGAATGTGTTGTGGGCCTACGCGTTTTGCCAGACGCAGCCTTGTCACGGGAGACCGCCACACTGCGCCTGAAAGGGGCTCTTGGCATCTTGCGGGCTTGCTGCAAAGTCCACGAGGATGCAGTTAACATCGACGCTGACGTTATTGAGGAATTCATCAACACCCTTTGCCCATCCTTGCTGTCACTCACGGAGACGCTGGCATCAGTTTGGGTGCAGGAGTTGAAGGCAAAAGGCCAACCGCCAGAGATGAATGGTGCCAGTGATTCTTCTGCCGCTGCCGCCGCCGTTGCTGCAAACCTGAAAAGGTCGGAACAACGCATGTTTGTGGTGTCCCCGTGGCATACAGAGTTGTCCCACTGTCTGCGCATTGCACTCAAGTGCATTGATTCACTCCTCGCCGCTCGTTGGCCTCTGTTTCTCTGCGATCAGCCCGGGATGGATCGACTCTGCAGGGACTGCATTGGTCAAGTCTTGGACGCGATCCACACAACACTCCTGCCTCTTTACCGTCTACGCATTCCCACTGACGACGGTGACGACTCGGACCTTTTTTCCGTGTTTCATGAGTCCGCCGAGTGGAAGTTGTTGAAGTGGGTTGAGGGCCTGTGTCTCAAGCTGCTGCAGGCACTCTCACCAAAGAGTTGTGAGCGTCGTGCACGCGCGGCAGCGAAGCACTTCTGTGATCAGTACTTGCTAGGCTTTGTGCAGCAGGCACTCGACGTTGTTCGGTGGCATGCGATGCCGCGCCGCTTGACCTCCAAGGCTTACATTATGTCGCTGGAGATTCTCACCATGGCCGTGGCTGTACGGAGCACGTACCGCACCATTATAGCACCAAACGCGGAGGAGCTCTTTACGTTGCTTATCTTCCCACGTCTCACCTTCTCGGTCGAGGATGCGGAGTTGTGGGAATTAAACCCCGCCGAGTATGTGCGGCTGCAGACGAGTCCTGCGGGGGATTTGTACAGCGCGAAGGTGGTCTCCTCAGCTCTTCTGCTTGCTCTGGCGATACCCTCCAAACCATTCCATGATGCAGCATTTGTGAACCACGTTGTCCAGTACGTGTTGGAGCGGCTCACAACGCACACCGCGGCTGCGGCGCACGGTGACGTGGAGGCGGCACGCGTTGTGGACGCCGCCTTATTTACCATTTACCAATTTAACAAAGTCCTGCACTCCGTTGGCTTTGGGGACGAGAAGGTGGAGTGGCTCCTCGCAAACTACGTGGCACCCGCGACGAAGTACCCTGTTGGATTTCTGCGCGCCCGTAGCGTGTTGGTGTTAAGCGTATTTGCGCCTAAAATTCACTGGAGCAGTCCTCAGGCGTTTCAGCGTGTTCTCGCGGAGGTTCTCCCGCTTCTGCATGATCCAGAGATTCCGGTGCGAATGCAGACCTGCATGTCCTTCTCCGCCCTCATCTGCCATCCGCACGCACGGGACGTCGTCGCACCCTGCCTCAGTGATGTCATTCAGCACTATTTCTGCGCCATGCGCCTCATGGACAGTGAGGGCGTCGTCCGCACCCTGCGCAAGACGATCAAGCACTACCGCGATGTTCTTTCGCAGTGGGCGATGCAGCTCACCGAGGTGTTGGTGCAGCATTTTCACCAGGTCCTGGAGCGGGCCCTCGCCGCTGGGATCAACGACGCCGTGCCTGAAACGCAGTCAATAAAGAAGAGCGGTGCAGCAGGGATGGGCGCGATGGGTGTTGAGGAGGATGGCGCCGTGGAGAGCATCATGGCCGCGGATGAAGTACTGGAGACCCTCACAACACTTGTGCGTGCGATTCCGCAGCAGCCGGCGATGGGCTCTTCCTCCAACGCGGCACAGCAGATCGATCTAATTCTGCGGATGCAGGAACATATCGCTCCGATGCTGTATATGGTGCTCTCGAAGGAGAAGGGAGGTTGCCTGGGATTCATGGATGCCTCACTTATGCTACTCACCACAATGTTGTCACGGAGTTCGGCTGTCGCCTCACCCACGTGGCGTTTGCTGCCATGCATTCATCAACTCGTTGTACAAGGTGCGGTAGACTACTTTAGCCAAATGCTTCCCCCACTGGATAATTTTGTCTGCGTCTCACCCGAGCAGTTCCTCCTCCTTCCGCTGAGTGATCTCTGTGCGGTGCCTGAATTCGCGGTGAACGTGGCCTCCATGACGCCTGCACAGGTCGTCTGCACGATGTGCGACGCCGTGATGCACAGCTGCCACATACTGCGCCTGCGTGAGCTTGCCGCTGTACCCAAGATGTACGACTCGATTCTGCAGAACCTCTGGCAGCTCCAGCAGCGTGAGGGAGGCCACGCATTCGCCACAGCAGTGACCGAAAGTCTCGTTGAATACATCATACAGGCCACTCTGCGCGTATTAACTGACCCTGCCAGTCAAGAGAGACGACGCCGCACGCTGACACTCTTGTTCGCCAATAGCCTTCTTTCCGCGATCCTTGCGAATGCCGCGTTGACTGTTAGGACTCTCTTCGGCACGGGTGCGCTCTTGCCATTCTTTGCAAATTACGTGCAGCTTGTGCAGGAGGAAACCATGCAGGCGATGCTGCGATCGTACGACCGCCGTCTGTTCATCATGGCCGTCGCAACTCTCGCACGGCTGCAGACGGAGCAGACGGCGCTGTCAGCGGTCCTCGACGAGGTGCTCTGCGGCGTCTTGCAGGGCGAAGTGCTGGCGAGTTACAGTCATTGCGAGGGCGCACTGGTCGCCATGGAGGTGGCGGGAGGCGCGGAGAGCGGGGATGGCCGCGACGAGGATGAATGGAGCGGTGATGAAACGAGCGGCAGCGGAGAGGACGACGACGACTATGACGAGGAGGACGAGGATGAGGACGAGTGCGACGACGACGACATGTACGACGACGAGGACGGCATGGGCGGCGCGGCGTCGGCCCTGGCGGGTGACGGCCAACTGCAGGCGCTGCTTGGGGCGGCCGCCGCTGCGCGGGGGAGGGGGACCGCCGCCGCCGACGACGACGAGGAGGACGACGAGGAGGACAATCTTCTTGACGAACACGACTTTGTGAGCCCGATTGATGCGTGTAACGCGTGGGCCTTTTTCTTGGAGTCCGTCAACCACACAACGGCGGCTGCGCCCACACGCTTCTGCCAGCTTCTGCGGGATGCCAGCGCGCAGCCGCAGCTGCAGTCTGTGACGCAGGTGAGTGCCTTGATGGAGCAACTGCTGGCGGCACGCGGGAGGCGGCACACTGCGTAACGAAGTAAACTCTGACGTCTTCCCCACCACGGCTCATGTGCAGCAATCCTTCGCTTTGACTTACTGCATCCGGGCAGTGCCGCCGCGTGGGTGGGGCTGGAGGATGAAGTAGCTGCGAGCCGAAGAGTGTATCCGTGGGGCAACGAAGAGGGACGTCTTTAACAAAAAAATAAACGAATAAGAGAGAAACGAAAACGAGAAAAAAAAGGAAAGAATGGAGGATGAGCAGTATAAATGAGTGATGACGCAAAAGAAAATGGATTCATGGCAGAAGCCCACCAACGCGAAGGATGATGTGAAGCGCCACAAGTAGACACCGGTGAAAAGACACATCTCTGTTAACTAATCTGCGGGTATACGTCAATACATCTCTGTACCTGCCTTCTCCGTTTCTCTCTTTTTCCTTTTTTCCCCACTCTCTTTCTCTCTCTCTGTGCATCTTTTTTATTGTTTTTGACTGTTGCCTCTCCTAATGGAAAGAGGTGGGGGTTGTGACTTCAGTGCCTCCTTTGCCACGCCTCCTTGCTGTGGAAAATTTTTTTGCCTCTTCATGCTGCCATTTTTGCCTTTTTTTGCTTGCATCTTTTTGCTGTTGCCGTTTTCCGTCACCCACGCCGTGGCTGAAGTGCTGGCGGCCCAGCGAGGCAACCAACAGACGGTGGGGAAACGGCAACGACCATCGGAAATAGTGCTTCCACACACACACACACACACACACACACACACACACACACACACGCGCGCACACACACACACACACACAACGAA